GGTGCGAGGAGCCGCGCTGCGCTGCCCGTCTTCGTGAGGGTGAAGAACCGTGTAGGGCCCAGCTGGGCGCCGGAGCTGCGGCCTGCGCCTCATTTCTCCTGGTGCCGCTGGTGTGAGTCCCTCGGCTGAGGCTGGGCGCCCCTCGGGGCGCCGTGTGCGGGGCCTGTCCGGGATGGGGATGGGGATGAGCGGTGGCAGGTGCAGGGGCCGCTTGTCGCGCAGACAGCGAGCGAGCGAGCGACCTGGCCGGGCTGGGACCGTCCCGGTATCGCCCCGGCCTGGCCGGGCGGTTACGTAACGTCCTGCGCACGGAGCTCTGCTGGGGACAGGGCGCTGCGTCCTCCTTGGCCCCGGCATCCTGGCGTGCTGGGCACCCCGGGAGCACAGCTTCGCTTTGCCGAGCGGGCAGTGCTCGGGGACCGTGTTTCTTTTCACATCTGTTGTTCATGGGCTAAAGGAGCTAGGCAAGCGCTGCGTCCCTTCTGGTCTAAACAGTAGTTCTGAATCTTTCCAGTACTGGCTGTATGGAGCTGTGCAATCGAGTCTGATATCTGTATGCAAATGTGTTTTGTGTGTTGATAAATTCTTCAGCACTTACTAGAAAGTAGAATGGGAGAACTGTGTTGATTACTAGCTTGTGACTAAAAGTTCCCTTGCAGAAAATCCTTATTCTTTATAACAGTTTGCAAATACTTCTTGGTTAGTGTACTCTTGCAGTAGAACTTCAGCACAATGTAGTGTTATCATACTTAGAAAAAGTCTTTGTTAAAAACAACTAAAGGCTGTGAAGTAGACCCTCCTACCCTTCCATCTACATCTTTAATTAGCAGTGTCGTAAGCATTCCTTCTTCATTGTGTATGGTCACCTGTTACTTTGTCCTCAAGTGTTTTCAGTGTGTCTCATCTATACTGAAGATTATAATGTTGTATTCTTCTTTTCTCTGGTCTGTGAAAGTGGAACATTTAATTACAATCTCCAGCTGGGTTTCTTCACTTTTTTCCTTGATGGAACAACTGTCATGGCTTTTCTTAGCAGGAGGGAATCAGACCTATGATTACGCTCCTAGAAGAGCGCTGAAAGTTTCTTGCTGTTTGCTTAAGACTCTTAGCTATTCCTGGTGCTTTCGGTTGAAGTTTCAGACAGTGTCTTCCATATGTAGAAATGAAGAGAGTTGCTGGTTTTTTTAAGATCTTTATTGTGGTGGTTTTTACCTCCCAAATACTTATTTAGGTTGTGCCCAGTAATGATGTAAAACTCGGTATAGAATTTATGCTGACTTATGGATAGAAATAAAAAGGGCACGGGTTTTTTTTTTCTCAAGGTTGTATGAAGTTATTTCAGTGCATACTTTCAAAAGCATGCTTTTGTTAGCAGTGAAGATGAAACCTTAAGTATTACTTAAGGGTTTCTGAACACTTGTAGTGGATTAAAACTATGTGTTTAATGAATTAATGTTGCTGTTAATTTTTTGCTGCTTCTTTCATTTTTCTAACTATTCTTTGGAAATGTCTCTCTTGTTTTCTTCCAGGCCTAATGTTACAGTTCTTCCGATTGTGAGTGCGCAGACCAGAAGCTGAGGTGAGATATGCTAAAATCTTTATACCTCTGTGGAAAAAACCTTCTTTGAAGCTGTTATGGGATTTATTGGAAAGAATAAGGAAATTTCTAATTGTTTTACTTTCCTATCTTTAGTGTGAAAACATGTTTGAGAAAGGAGGAGTAATTCAGAACAGAAAACGTGTATGCTATGGTTAGCTGGTTCCCATCATTCGAGAATCTGTTTTCTCATCGTGTGAAACTTGTTCAGCATCGGGATAAAGGATAACGACTCTATGGATATACAGAATTCTTCACCATGGTAAAACTCGCCAACCCGCTGTATACAGAGTGGATTTTGGAGGCAATCAAAAAGGTAAAGAAGCAAAAACAGCGTCCTTCAGAGGAGAGGATATGCAATGCAGTGTCATCTTCGCATGGTTTGGACCGCAAAACTGTTCTGGAACAGTTGGAGTTGAGTGTTAAAGATGGAACTATTTTAAAAGTCTCCAACAAGGGTCTCAACTCCTACAAGGATCCAGATAATCCTGGGAGAATAGCACTTCCGAAGCCTCGGAACCATGGCAAGTTGGATGGTAAACCAAATGTGGACTGGAATAAACTTATCAAACGGGCAATTGAGGGCTTGGCTGAGTCTAGTGGCTCATCCTTGAAGAACATCGAGCGCTTTCTGAAAGGTCAGAAAGATGTGTCTGCGTTATTTGGAGGTAGCGCTGCCTCCATTTTTCACCAGCAATTACGACTAGCTGTCAAACGTGCTGTTGGCCATGGTAGGCTCCTTAAAGATGGACCTCTGTACCAGCTCAACACTAAAGCAACCACTAATGCTGATGGGAAGGAGAGTTTTGAGTCTCTTTCCTGTCTCCCTCCAGTGTGTCTCCTTCCCCATGAAAAGGATAAGGTAAGACCCAGTTTGCATGGGCATTTTTTTGTGATGGATGAAATGTGTCAATACACTGTTGCAATTTGAGGTCAATGACTTGTTTAACATGCATCTTGTAAGTTGGACATGACTGATGTGCATTTAGGTTTCTACTGTGTCCAAATCTCTTAAGTGTAATAAATCATAATTTGTACTTTGGACCTAAAAACTGCAAACAAACTACTGTAGGGAATTTTCCTCTGAACGCTTCTGTACAGTGAAAGTGAATGTATAATAACAGGCTTACTATAGTTACTATGTTAGCCAAACGTACGAAGTAAGCCTCCTCAGTTTAAGGTGAGGTGGATTTGCAAAGCAAACTTGGGGTTGTCTCTTATTTTCTCATTTTTATTTGACTGCCAGTTCAGCTTCTTATTTGAATGCATATAATATAGTGAAGCGCTGATTAGCAATTGCCACCTAATGCTATTGTAGAGGCTTTCTTTGTTCACAGTGAAAAATTCATTTTGTTCCAGAATAGCTTTGTTGTGAAATAGGAAGAAAAGGTATATAGGATATAGCTGTTGAAAAGAGTGAAATCGGAGGATGTGGAAAGTATGGAAATGCTAGAATGAACACTCGTGGACTTCTGTTCCCTTTTGTGTGCCTCCCCCCACCCTTCTTAAATACAATTCATTCTACAAACGAAAGTACTTTTATATTACTCTTATTTTTATGCTTTTTTTCTCCTCCTTTCTTCCATCCTTCTGCATGCCTAAGGTCTTTGATCCTCCACTCCAACCTCAAGATGAAGTTGTTGGAGTGAAATTTGTACCCACTCAGTATCTTTCCTGTCCTTGTGCTACTGTGGAAGCAGCGTAAAAAGGAAGTCTGTCTTTGTTTATTGAAGACCGATTTTCCAGTAATTCATATCTTTGCACTACTAGTCGCCAGGACTTACAGAATGTGAAAATTGTTTTTTCTATCCGTAATAGACACATTTTTCAGCAGTGTTGGAAAGTTGTTTTGTTGTAAATATCCTCTTTGGGGATGAGTTCTTTGAGTGTCTACTGCTTGTGTTTTTTCAAGTCAGCTTTACTCTGGTGAGAGGGTTGCTTTATAATGTTAGGATTTGAAGACTTAAAAGTACTGTAGGAGTCTTCTTCCTAAAAAACAAAAAAAATTATTCACAGCTGCTTTATCACCAGTAAAGTTTCTCTGAAGCTCTCATTTAACTGATGGAGCTCTACTATGGACGTAGGACTTGGCTAGTCAGAGCACTGTGTTGTGGGCTGGTGGAAGGTAGGAAGTAAGTATTACTGTGCTGGAAATTCCAACAGCTTCCTCTATCCTTTTTTCAGGTGTTCTGTCTACAAACGTTTCCTATGTACTTCTCCAACTATATCTGTAATGAAATCAATATAGGTGCAAAATGGTATGAAAACTGGATGTAAACAAGCCTGGCACATGAGGCAGCTGAATTGAGAGTGGTAGTAATGGTGGAAAATACTAGCTGTGCATATTATTAACACAGTATGTTTTACAGACTATTCAGTCTTGTAATGTGCCAAAACTCAGGACCAGCTTGATATTCTTTCAGGTGAAGTGTTTCCTGAGGTTTTAAAATGGGTTATATCAAAGTGTTGAATGATAATATGGACTATTGTAAGTACTGAATTTGGTCTGGGGTTTGTTTTTTGTCCCCTAGAAAAGTATGTGTATGAAGTTCTTGTGTGTGCAAGTGTGCATAAATATAAACACAAGTATATATATGTGTGTGTGCATTTTGGGCTCTTAGATGTGCTCCCTAATTCCTTCCTACCTGCTCAAGTCTAAGCAGCTTGAACACTAAAAGGCTTGTTAGTAACATTAGAATGCACAGTAGCTATAGTAGAAATTTTGCGAGGAATTTCTTCGTTAAATTAATTGGGGGCGGGG